TCACCTCCTTCTAAAGTTTACCTACTTAGTTGTCTGTTTTAAATCAGCTCATTCTAATCTCCATAGGTTTTAATTAGTTTATGCAATAGGGAAAACAGTTACTTCAGAACTGTTTTTAAAAAAAATAAAATTGTTTGCTATCCTCCAGTCCTCTGAAAGCAAGACTAATTAAGCAATGGGTTACATACTGCATTTGGTAAAAAAATCCAAAACAAAAGACTGGGAATAAATGCTATCTTACCTGCATTTCCTTACTGATCATCTTAACAATTAGTGTTAAACTCTAAAATTAGAGGCTCCTTCTCCATAAAAAAAAGCATTATCCTGCCTAGGAAGGACAAAACCAAACACTTTCCTCCTCCCCATGTTATGGTCTCACATTGCAACTGCTTTTTTTGTACTCCCTGGTATACATAAGTATATCTTTATAGTCACTTAATTACCTAAATGATTCTAGGTTCTCTGCTTCTTTAAAATAAATAGTTCTCAACTCCTTACACATTCAATCTTCAAAGGCTTTGTTAGCCAACCTTATTACCACTTTAGATTTAATATATAATTTAACTCTCACATCCCCTCATTTGGGCAGACCTACCAATTTTTGGCAGCAACCTACTTTACTGTTTTACTGCAGAGACTTTTTAGGGTTCTCCAAGAGTGCCTTTTTTTTTTTTTTTTAAAATTTGGCATACATTTACTTTGAGCGGCTAACAACTTTTTTTTAACATAGTTTTTAGTTCACCTGTTTAGCTTTCTTTCTCAGACATTAATTACTTCTCCTTAAGTTAAACAAAGGATGAACTATTTGCATCACCACTATTATACATCTTCAAAATAAGGTACTTTTTGAACCAGGTTTCATATATTACTCAGGAGTAGATCAAAACCTGCTTCTCCTCTATTGAATTCTGACTAACTGCTCAAAGCATAATAACATAAAGCAGATCTACAATCAACATTATTTTCAAGTGTGCCTCTTCGCAGCCTTGTCTCTCTTAGCATAATGACTGAAGTACTACTTATGTGATCAAACGTGTTTCAACTATATCATACTACTTCTATTTAGACTTAACACCTCCAAAAAAAAAAAAAAGAGCAAAGAGCAATTTAAATACTTACCTGTTTCTTCAAGATTGTCTTTAACCTGTAACTATTTAGTCAGAAATGTCTATGCTCACTCTGACTTGCACAAATATTTTAGCATCTCAGTGATTATCGTTTTTCTATCAGCTTTAAAAATGCTATATTAAAATTCACATTCAAGGTCAGATCAGCTAAATCTATCTTAATTTACATAACTCTGGTTGACAAGGTACTGTAATTGAATATAGTTTGACTGTGTGCATTGCAACTGGGATTTTGCCTAACGTACTCTTTGCTATTTCTTTCTTCAGCTTGGACTTTTGTCCTATCTGAAGGGATGCATTACTGAATTGTAAACACCTCCACACTTATCAATGTTCTCCAGTTTTGATTTTACAATTCTCCTTGTAATCATCTTAAGTTTTATTAGAAGCAAAAAAGGAACCTAGATGCTTTAAGTCTAATGTACAGGCTGCATCTATGCAAAAAGGTTCATGCTGGCAACTAAAGAAATGTCCCTCTCACCATAAATTTATTACCTACACACTTGAACCATGTCTCTGCCCAGCCATTTGCATCACACTGCTACCAAGGATATCTATCGCCTCTTCTGCAACAACCTAAACTTTAGCTCTAGAGCTTCTTATAACATATGGACCATGGTCCCAGGAATTCTGTCTGGCACTATGTGTTTGAACATCTCGTAAATCAGACCACGTGTGTACCCTGGATGCAAACCACTATGCAGTCCTCACCAACACCGCAAATACACTTTACCCAATAACCATATCTAGCAGCATTTCAAATTGCCTCTTCTATAGCTTCAACAAGCTTCAATGAATTCCTCACGCTTCCTACAAACAATGTAGGCATTTACAAGAGGTGAACAAAGATTTATGGCCTCAAAAAATAAAGCTGCAAAGTACTTGAAAGAACAGAGCAACAGAAGTTCTGTTTTACTTCTAACATGAGCTTCCTAATATTCTTCAGTAAGTCCTCAGCACCGTAAGATTATCCAACTATCAGCCTAAGTTGTGTAGGAACTGTCCATACAAGACGTCAGTTTAAAATATTAATCCAAATGAAACATGAGGCTTGCTTCGAGTACCACAGCATCCTACAGCTTACCAATAAAGTTTCAGTGTATTGTCAGAGTCCAAAAAAAAAAAAAAAAAAAAAATCAAGACCAGCACACAAATTACGAAGCCAGACGTCTGCACAGGCAGTATTCAGGAAGTATTTTCAATATAAATATTCAATTTTAGAGTCAAGAAATTTCTTGATAGTATTGTTTTTCACTAATGATTTTCAAAATCCATTTTCTCAGCTCTTACAGTTGTAGAATTAGTTTATGCTGTCTACAGCTACACTGTATACAAATGGAAATTAGTATCACAGTGATTTTAATATTTCCATGATAAATGCTTACTTTTCACAAAACTCAATGTTCAAGCTATACAAATACCAATCTAAAGAGTACCTTGGTTTTTTGCTTTGTTCCACACTCAGACTAAAAGCATCCATAACTTCTGATTTACAAAATAGTAAGCAAACCTTAAGCATAAACTTAAAGAACTACACACTAAAATTTAGCAAATATACATATATATATATATGCAGTCTTTAGAGAAAGTTATAATAAACTTCAAAATTATAAATGTTCAGTAAAAAGCTGCTTTACATATTAAGCACCTCATTTCACTAACAGGTGAAAACTGAAACTAAACCACGTAAGACTCCACTATAAATGGAATTGCACACTCCTGTGTTGTTCTCAGATATTAAGTAAGCATTATAAATCAGAAGAATGGAGCATTGTTTTCCAATTCAGTGAAATGGCAATGACAAACATGCTGGCATAAGCAGTGAAATTCCAATACATGAAACCAGTATGTACAATAGCAAGTCAATTGCTACAAGCAACAATGGAAGCATCAAAGCAGCATTAACAGGATACACTTTTTTTAACTGCACACAAGGCATTACATACTTTTAATTTTCTTGTTAAGTGACCTGTGTTTAATTTCTTAACTCATTATTATTCTGTCCCATGCATAGACCCTTTCAGAGTAAACTCAGGAACCTTCTCAGCACAAATTCTTTCAATTAAAGGAAGAAACCAGTATCACCTTCTTTAATATACACAAATAGGTCTTAATGACACTTGCTTCAGAAAAAAATTCAGTGCTAAAATATGCATGCCATCATCTCAATTTTGTTAAAATGTTTCTTCTTTGCAAACTAGTAGAAAAGTGGAGTGTATGGACCTGCAGAAAAATTCTACAATTCCACTGGTCTGAATAAACCAAATACGCTGCAACAACCACATCAGTTTTATTTACAGCATCTTTCTGAAATTCAGAGCATCAAGAAATGACATTTTATCTCACAGAATTCTAGAATTTTCTGAACGTACTTGATTGAAGACTAATGCTTTTATCAAAGTTGAGGACGTCACAACATCTTTGCACAATTCATAATCAAAGGTGTCATAGTAAAGTGAGTCTCAATTGAAGGAAAATTGATTTCCTTTAACATAATTTGCCTTTAGAGTTCAAGTCAAATGCTCAACTTGACACGGATCTAACACAGATGTGCATGAAAGATACACACTGATGAAAAAAGTGTTATTTTTTGAAAAAAGGCTTACTTGAAGATTAACAGAAGGCAACTGGCAGGCTCTCTTCTCAATGTCATTGCAGCACTGAGTTCTTCGCTTTCGAGTTTACAAAAAATCATGACATTACCTGCTTCTCTCCAAATCTTGCAGTAGCAGAACAAATGCAAGATTAAAGTTTCTCTTCTATGAAACCAGTACTATCCCCTAGAACAGCTCACTGACATGCAAATGTTACAGACGAGTATTAACATCATGTTTTAGCCATCAACAACGCTATCACCAATTACTTTAATCATTATAGCTTGAAGCTGAGCAGATGCCTTTAAAGACTTTCCAACAGGTTAAAAGGGCTTTATTAATTTCCAGGAGATGCATTAAATTGTTCTATTGTGACATTCAAGTGGCAATACCTTGTGATACAGTCTGCTGTAACAAATAAAGCTGTTTAGATATGTTCATGCAAAGATTCTTGAGCCAATGAGGATGGGAGTGAAAAAAGAGCTTGGAAACTTACCCAGAGCAAAGTACTCAAGCCCTAAAGATAGGTGAAAATGAAGGGGCAAGGGGAAAGGAATAAGACATGGGAAAGAAATATTAATCTATTTTTAAAAGGAAATGAACCATTTAGCTTCCAAAGGTGAAAGTTGGATAAACTGAGGCAATTGGGTAAAAACTAAACTACCTAATATCAAAAACTAAATGCTGCTAGGATTCAGTCTCCCAACTAATTTGCTTCAGTGCTCTGAACAAATTTCCTAAGTGTGCTGTTTTTACAGAAGTAACAATTAGAGGAAATGTTTTCAAAATACGTAAGCCACCAGGTGTTTGCAGCAAGGATTATATTTTATAGCCCACAAAGGACAATATACACCCATGGTTTTCTGAACAAATACCAATAACATCACAAGCTAACCTATGAAACTCAATACAGACACCTAAAGGAGTAATGTACACATACATACAACTTTGCCTCAATGAAAAATTATATTCTGGACTCTGACAGAGCCCTGAAACACATGGGGTTTTAACCTACTTTTTACAGAGGTGTTTATAAGTTAAGTACAAATATATTTCCTATTTATCCCACAAATACTTAGCTGATAAGAAATATAGCTTGCTTCATAGAACTAACTTCTTTTCGCTTACTGGCTTCCATACACTATCAAGACCACCAGCTTGGACTGTAAGCAACCAGTACACCACAATATTGTACAGCCTAAATTAAGTAATCTTTAGAAAAAGAAATGGGAAGAAATGGTAGATAAACTCAACTTTCAGAAGAGCAACAGGATTGACAAGTTCAAATTTTCCCAAACCCAATCCACAGACATCATCAATGGCAACTGTAGTCTGTAGCAACTAGCTCTATTGTCAGCAGGTGTTTAATTTTTAAAACTTTTGAAATGGATTAGCATGATGCAAGAATATTCTATGGCCATTTCTGCTTTCACCACAGTTCTGTAACATGTACCATCAAATGAGGGGAAAAAAGCATTACTTGTTTTGGCATTTCAAGCTTCATCTGCTTACCACAGTGACTAACTGCTTGCTACTACTATTCACCTCAATTTGTATGATAGAGATACATGTGATAGGAATTAGTTGCTTCAACCTTAATTAGAAGGTTAGTTACAGAAAAAACAGGTTGGCCTTCATGACAGCTAAATTTGACTTAACACCATCTCTCTTTAAAGCGCAATTATTTTGGACAAATAGTTAACAAATAACTGTTAAATTGTCTGGATAAGCATTTTAGTCCACCCATTGTATTTCCATCACAGATAAGACTTAGAATATAACAGTCTTGCCCAACAGCAGAATCTCCTCCATTTCAGATGTAATAAACTGTTCAGTGCTGCTTTTCCACTCTTTTGAAGGAAATGAGCAGAACTTGCTTATTGACTATGCTCATTTAACTGGATAGGTAAAAAACTAAACTAACAAGATGGGAAGAAGGTAAACACTTTCCTGTGGAGAATACTGATGCCCTACCATTGCCCTTCTTGAATCAATCTCAAAAAGAGAGAAAACCCTATACAGTGTTCCAAAGCAAGTTTATCAACAGTTTCCCCATAAGATACAACCAATTCAGCTGGGCAGGGAAGGCCAGTAGTTTGCATGAAAGAGCTTATGGAATTCAGGTGGAGCATCTAGTTCAGTATATAGAAAACATTCTGGCAATACTCCATGTCTTCCAAGATGCACTATTAGTTCCTTCATAATTTGAAATTACTGTTATTAATCCATACAATTAAATGTATGAAACAGCAGAAGTATTCCGAAGTCAAGTCACTTTCAAAGTCCAAACCTAACCATCCATCTAATTATTATGAGTGGGTCATTGATTAGTGAATAGGCAAAAGCTTTAAAACTCAGTGTTTTGAGAAATTTTGATGGTGCACACAGAAGTTCTAGAACAGCAAACACAAAGCACAGTAATACTAAAAAAACATCAAAAATATAAAAAAATCTAAATACGTCAAAGGTGGCTTGTAATAAGTTTGACATTTATAAAAGTCAAGGAAGTGTATTCAAGCTTATCCAGAACAAAAGAAAAGTTCAAATCAAGGGGTAGAACTTTGCAATGCTTTAGGTATACAAGTCATGGAATAAGGAAGAATTTTTAATACAGAAGATTATCATAGCAGTAATTAAAACAAACATGCTGGATCTTTCCAGAAGGGCAATGCTCCAACATACAGATCAATAAAATTGTTATATAAAGCCAAATTCTTATATTCTAAAATGTCAGGTATTACTATCACTTGCTAAATATTAGTTATTTCTTCACTTGTCCAAGTACATTTCATAAGTATTACTGAAAATACTCTCAAGATAAATACAAAATTTACAGAACACTAAGATCTGAACATCAAGGTACACCACCGTACTTGTTTTTCAACGTTGAAGGTCTAGTATCAGTTTCATCTGTTCAGTTCTATGTCTAGTTTCAATTATACCTGAAACTAGTCTCTTGATTTCTACTGTTTGTACTCTCACTGGCGCAGTAATTTTGCAGTACGAATATTGTCATTTTGATCCGTTAAAGAAATTCTATAGCACCTTCTATTACATTGCTATATGTACCACCCCAGCTATTGTTTTTCTTTTAACCATACACAAGATAACTATGTTTGAAGTTCACTAACTGCTTCAGTATATAGGGATGCGATGAACCTACAAGCAAAAAAGATATGGCATCTAATTCAAACACAGAAAAGCTACACAGAAGTCTGGCTTACCACAATGGATCACACTTCAGGATGCACACACAAGTTGAAACTAGTTCATTGGCAAAGCAAGCAAGACTGAAATCTTGAGAATTAAGCTATAGAGATAAAAGCACTTTAAATGAAGTAAACTATTCCCTGATGAAAACATGCAAAGTATTTAACCTAACTTTTCCATGTTTTGCTCTAACTTAACTCGATAAAAATGAAACAGGAGGTATGATTTTTTAAGTTACATATGCAGTCTTCTGTTGAGGAGGTTTGTTTTTACAGAGAATTAAATTTTAAATTCAATCAGGAATTGAGTCTTTAAAAAAAAAAATATATCTGTTGAGTCAGCACTGCAATTATGACCCACACACTCTATCACTCATTCATACACTTGTATGCAAAGAAATTCAAAATATCTAAATTTATGTCTTATTTTCCCTAAAAAGTACACATATTAATGACTAAGTGTCCATACAACAAACTGGAGCTTTTAAGAGCTGTAAGTGAAATGGACAAAAAAACCCAAATGAACTTTACTTATCAGTTACCTAAGCAGGGCAAACTCAAGCTTATTAACATACTTTAAACTTTTCATCTTTGATAGAAAAACTACAAAACCTAAGTTAACACATCTTTCTATACAAGTCCAAAACTTACTTTGCACAGACTAAGAAAACTGACAATACTTACTTTAGCTCTTCTTGATGTATTTACATAACTATCTCAGAGCTCCCTAACATTTTTCATTCACTGTGCTACACGCTTCACATGCAGTGTAGCAAGTTTCCAACAAAGCATAGAAAAAAGCAGAAAGCATCTTTTTCCAGCAAAGAAAACACAGAAAGCATCTTTTTCCAGCAAAGACTGCAGAAAAGTCAATCGCTTTACGGGCTATTTAAGCTGCAGTTCTGACAGCACAAGTCATTTGGTGCACTTTCTGAAGTCTGAACAGTTTCACACATGGATTGCCACCATTTAAATAAGCACACATTATATTAGAGTGTAGCCTGCTAGATATTTAGTTATTCAGTGACCTGACATAAGTCTAAAAGAAATACTCTACTTGTTCCAACTTAATATTCATTTTAATCCATTTAATCAAACTCATGCAGCTCCATTAAACAGGGTACAAGCCTGAAAGCAGACCTATACTTCATTCACTCACTCTTTTCCTCCCAAAAATGTAACATGGGAAAGTGGTCACAGACAAAACCATTTATAGCTTCCTTTGTATTTTAAAAAACAGGAGAAATTTGGTAGTTATTTCTGCAAAACCCTTCACCTGGAAGTTTTAAGAGTCTTCAAGGAGAGAAAACATACCTGCTATAGGCACATATCCAACTCCTTGCTGATATACAGTGGGCATCAGGACCACTGGCTGGGGCTGCATCATCATGGCAGCTGGCAAAGACTTGACACAAAAAGCACAATAGACAGATTAGAACTACTCAAGAAATAGAAAAAAACTAAAGCAGCCATTAAAACAATTAAAATAGTATTTGCAAAAAAAATTGTTACATTGCAAATCCATGTTCAATATTACAATATGATTATACTAAGTGCTAATCTATATTAAGCAAAATCTCTGGCAAATTAACTGAACTACCATCCTTTTAAGCGACAATTAATTTGCCTGTAAATCAATATAAACACATCATGTCAAACTAGCCTTTTGCAACAGTAGTGATAAATTTTGCCACTGAAATTTTGTTACTGAAGTGAATTATTTTAAAATAAGGGTTTATTCAGCTTCCATGCCTTATTCTTGTGAAATGAATATACAACATATTCATTGTAAATGAAAACGTAGAGCAAACCTAAATTTTATTAAAAGCAGTATACCGCTCCTAGAAGGAAATTTTAGTTTAAATCAATTATTTTTGAGATAAACCAGTACTTTAAACAAAATATCAATTTAACTCCATTCCCTTTTACTATCACAATTCCTGTTCAGTTTTATATTGGAAAATATTAAAAGGTCAGATTCTATGTACAGTACATTCATGGGCAGACAGTTTTAAAGGTTAATTACAAACTCATTTCTCCTAGGGATAATGGATGTGGGGCAGAATGTGAATTTCAAACAGCAGGGAACATCTGTTCCCAGTTGTACACTCAACAGCAACTTGGAACTTTTGATCATGTACAAGCATATTAGGAAGCATTCAGGGCTGCACATGCTACACATGCTATCCAACAGCTACTTAAGACAAAAGTGATAGATGACAGAATAGTCCATGAGCTGCTAAATGGACCAGTGTAAGTCAGCAGTTCATGACTAGGAGCACCAAATGAACAAGAACGGAAGTAAAAAACAAAGTAATCCCAAAGAGCACTCAAACTATCCAGAAAGACCTAAAACAGAGAAGAGTTTCCATTATTTTTGCTTTTAAATTGACATGACTTTCTAAAGATGTAGGGGAAAAAAGGTAAGTTATTGTTAGATTCCATGAAGCCTTTTAAAAAGTATTAAATTAGAAATGACAATGGACCATTTGACTGAGGATTTCTTTTTTATACTTCTATTAGCACAGCAGTAAGCTGATTTTTTGTAATTGCAAAACCAGATAAATAAATACCCACTTACCACTGCACCAAGAAGTATTTACTGCCTTAACTAATATTTTTGACTGTCATTCCCCAAGTTAAGTATAATTATTTTAAATGCTAACACACACAGACACCCAGTAAGGTACAATGGAACTACTTCTACCTCAAACTAAAATATCTCCCTCCCACTACCCAAGAAGCTTCTCTCCCCTCCTCCTCCCACCCCAAACTTGGCTTACCGTGTACGACATAACTAGATTAATCATTCCTTCCTTGTCATCACCCTGTCTTCCACTCAGACTATACCATTCATCCTCCACATTTCCTTGTTTCAGAGACTCAGGAATTGTAATGTGTGTCCAAGCGATGCGGTCATCCATTGAAAAGGCCCGCTGGAATATAATAAAAAAAAATTATCAAGTTAATTGTCTTGAGGGGAAAAAAAAAATCTTCTGATTATTCTTGACTAACACTTCCTTCAGTTTCAGTCTATTTCATTTTGCCAATTTTATTTTTAAGTTATTCCTTTTGAAATTACTAAAGTGTTGGTAAATATTTTAGCCATCTCCTTTCCAACAAGGATGAATGATGCTTTACGTGCAATTATGCATTGATTGCAGATATTCAATAATAAGAAATTGAAAACCTATGTGAATCTAGTGACATTGTATCAGATGCCATTAAATGAATGCAAACAGCTTCCATTTACACTTCTACAATAGGCTGTGAACTCCAGTAATTCAAGTGCAGATACAAATACTGATCTGCCACCCCTGTTGCAGCAAGAAACAGACACTTCAACCAATCAACTAAGCCCGCAAAATACCATCCAAAAGCCTCACTTGCGTAATGACCACACAGCTGGTGCAGTGTCAAGTTTTACTACACACAGTAAGAGAGGCAGCAAAAAAAAGGTAAACCAGAGATTCTAGCCTCAGTTGTAGACTTAGTTTAAATTGTTCAAGAAGGTACGTTTGTGCTAAGTGGAACAGCTGAGATGCAGGCACATATTCCCTGCTGCCAACAATAACAACACCCAGCAGAACAACATACTAGAACATGAGATGGTACTCTTCTAGAAAAGCTTTGTAGAGCAGATTAATAGCTCTGGTAGGCAATCAGACCCATTCATTCTCTAAGAAAATGAAATTGTTCGGAGGTTAGGTATTTATTACCACTGTGTCTTAAGTAAAGCATAGACAAGTGCCTACATGCCCACTTGGAATGAAATTCAGGCAAATAGAGATTAAGTTATGTTTCTGCTAATAAATCCTAGTGACCACACACAGTCTATATTTGACAGTTTTATTTTTGGCATTTCCAAGCTTGGGAAAGCTTCCGAGCTCCTCCTGCATTAGAATAACACTGAAGAATTTCAGCATTGTATAAGCAAGCCATTTTTAATAGGGACAGTACAGAATATAATATAATATAA